TTCATTGAATAATCAATTTAAATGATTCATTATCCTCTTGCCTCTGCAAGTAACAATACATATAACATAATGAGCATCAAAAGATTATTGATAGTGCGAAGGGGAGGAAAAAACTCAGAATTTGATTAAAAAAAATTATTGGCACTATTCTAATAGACCCACAATAATAGCTTGAAATCAAACCATGAATTAGTTTTTTAAACCAAAGTATTAATATGAATCCACAAAAATCACACGCATAAAGATCCTACATTCTATAACCATTCTATTAGCACTCCAGCAATAATACAATAATCCCAAAAGACATAAACATGATAACAAAGCATAGTATCACAATAAAGAAAAATGTGGCACGATATCAGCATAATTATCATCAGAGGCAGTGCCATTATCAAGGGTTGCAATAATATTGCACTCCTTATGGGGGTATACTATTATTACCCTTAAGCTGTTATCTTGAAAATAATTCTCTCAAAACAACCAAAGTTCAAAACTTAAACCTTTAACATAGTTAGTCTCATTTAACAATTAGGACTAACCAGTACAAGAAGTAGAAGAAAATTTAAGTTTATTAGTGTTTCTTCAGGCCCTCATGATAACTATGTGGATTTTCAAGTGTATCATGCACTATCATTACGTTATTATTGTTCCTTATAAGAGGATTAATTATTTCAGCTGTATCATTTGACAACCATAGGGACTGATGACTTGATAATAAAATAATAGTGAGTGTGCTGATAGATATTGAAAAGTTTTGAATAATGAAAATTCCCAACAAGTAGATTCTGCTTCAAAAACTAGCAATATCTATGATTATATCTAATATATTTCCTTCCTTAAATTGAAGAATTTCAAATTCATTAATCAGCCTTTTGAGGTCAATCGTTGGACTTTGAGGTTTACCAAGTATATTGCCAAGTCACCAAGTGTAGATTAAAGATTTTTTGACATTTTTCTTAGTCTACTAAAAATAAATTAAAAAATATTCAGAAGCAATAAAAATTAAATAAATAGTATATCAAAACGTATTCTTTTTATTGCATAGCTCTTTGTTATGGTATCAGAACTTGGTATCAGAATGTATTTCATTTAATTCTTCGCACTCAAAATCAAGTTTTGATACTATAACAAAGAGTTGAGTATTAAAGGAATACCATAATATAGTATGTTATACTAAAAATATAAACAATTTTAACACAATTAATATTTTATTTGAAACCTTTTATAGGATAAGGAACTTACGCTGTAAAAGCAATCACAACCAAGGCAACTTTCATAGATAAAAAAAAATAGAGATTATTCTATTGGATTAATTACTTTAACAATAATACTAACTTACTATTGTCTCACCTATCCGCATGCTCTCTTTATTTCTCTCCCTAATTAATCCATCTGTACGTATTGTATTATTTAAAAATATATTAAATATAATTTAGTTTAAGTTTGTCCATTCAGTTACGACTAAATGTGGCATCATAGTAGAATAATATTTTTATATAGTGGATAGAGTGTTTCTTTTACCCAATTATTGGAAGGCATGTTCTTGTAGAAATGAATGTGAATGTGACTCAAATATCATATAAGAAGAAAGAAAATAATAATTATAAGAGCATGAAAATTTAGAGAGAGAGATCAGAAAATGAAGAGCTTATCAAGTAAGAGATTCAAATTACAAACATGAATAAGAAAAGTTGGGTTGTTGTAATATTGCTTGTTGACCTTTCTTTTCTTTTCCTTTCCTGTTGACTAACCCTTGGCTTAAATTTATGGTGTCTTTTCAAGCAAAATATCAATATAATATTGTGCATTTTCTATTTTTCTCATAATCCCATATGTCCATCGCCATCGTCCTATATACTTAATTAATTATATATGAAGAATTTTATCAAACAAAATTATACATGAAGAAGAGGAGGGAAGTGATTCCTTTATTAATTACTCTCTCCGATCCTATTTATAAGTTTCCAATTCGAAGAGGAGTATAGTCCATTTTATAAGTTTCAATTTGGGGTTTGTTTAAACATTTAATTCATTTTTTTCATATTTGCCCTTAATTATTTGTTCCTCTTCTTTGACATACCCTCTTCTCACATTTCCTCATATATTTTTTTCATCTTTTTGCTCATTTATTATAAGGGAATATTTGGAAACAAAATTATGATTCTAGCTTATTTATTATTTTTAACTAATTTTAACTACTTATTCATTATCCGTAAAGCAATTGTTTGGAGCTTATAATAAGAACCGAATGGAGCATTATAATATATACACCCTTTGTTTTTAATTGAAAAAAAAAGATAAAATAAAGATGCAATGTGACTCAGATTCGGGGAATTGGAATAATAGAGATAACATATCGAATTAGATGATGCCTTATCATCAACTTTGTTAATATTATATATATTTTAAATTTATAAACAATTTTAAATAATTTTTTGTAGAAAAGGAAAACTATTTTGCAAGTACCTATACTTTTTCTCAATTTTTATTTCGGTATCTATACTTTTTTTTTCCCTTTTATAAAATCCTTCAAGTTTCTCCCATTAATATACCCGTTAATATCTACAGTTTCAAGAAATACATTGAAGGGCCAACAAATGGATAGATGCCGTTAAAGTCTATCCTAGAATCTTTGACAGAATCAGTGCAACCTGTGCAAGGAGCTCCTCAATGGAATTAGAGTGACCTGGGTGAGGAGATCGTCCACAGAATCAAAGCAACCTGGGTGAGGAGGCCTTCGGCGAATTTCATGTTTTGCTTTGAGGGTCGACTTCTACCACCCGTTACTTCTCCGGCAACCGCAACTGCTCTGTGATTTGCTTCTTCTTTCACTAGAACATGCTTTCAATTCGAAGAGGCAAGATTTAGTTGTGATTTGGAGTTCAATCCAAAGACTGACCCGATTATGCTCTGCTTCTTTTTAGCGCCTTCTCCTTATGGTTCCACATGCAGCTCAAGACGTAAGGCATCATCTACAACTATCTTGAAGATACTTTCCATTTTAGTAATTATGGGTCATTCTACTTCTTTCTAGTGTTCTAGCTTTTCCTTTCATTCTAGCCATATTGACGTTTGCTGTCACCATAAAATATGCATTTTCTCCATAATTGTAGCTTAGCGATGGTCTTCATCTATTAAATTCAATAATTTAATTTATAGCTTTTCATTGAAAATGTGACGTAGAGTCAGAGATTTCATGTGTGATTCTAAATATTTCTTTAGGAAAAAAAATTATGGAAATAGTCTGGTTGTCAAGCTTCAGGTGTTTTTTTTGGCAAGAATGGTGGAAATGTCACTGAATTAGTCATTAGAGTAGTATTTCACACAGTTGCTGTTCTTGGTTGTTAATAGTTCTTTCAATGCAATTTAACATTTTTGAAAACAAATTCAAAACTTTTTAAGCTTACTTAGGAATCAGACCTCATCACAGGAAACAGGTATAGTTGTTTTCTCTAATGTGTTTGTCAAGAGCAAGAAATTGTTAAGCACTTAGAATTCTTGGAGTAGCAGTCTCATATTGGCCTTCTAACCTATGCTGACTATTATATCTGCTTTTCCTTTTGGTACAGGATTTGACTTCAGAGACCATGTGAGAATCCAATACACAAATATGAAGCAATTGAGACATCATTATACTTTGGGCTGAACAATAGGGAAAACCCGAGATTCTCACTGAGGTCGCTCATATTTTAATATTCTTCTGGTCCTTAATATAAGACCTATTTAACTAATTTGATTGGATTAATAAGGTTAGATAAGTTAGTTAATTATAAGAAATATGATATGTTTTTTTTTAATCTTTCTTAATATCCTCCCTCCCTCTTCTACTTGATTATGGTTGAGGGAGTATCTATAGGGGTAATTTAGAAAAAATTGATAAATATGAAAAATAGGTCTTATATTTTTAAGAGTAAAATCAACTCAACAATTAGGTCTTATATTAAGAACCGAGGAGTATTACTCAATATACGTTCAAGTTGTTATGAAAAAATAGGTCTTATATTTAAGAGTAAAATCAATCAACAATTAGGTCTTATATTAAGAACCGGAGGAGTATTACTCAATATACGGTCAAGTTGTTATAAAATTAAAATATAATAAATAAACAGAAAAAAATTAAGATTTTGAGCTGCACAATTGAAATGCTTCATCAACTCATTGTACTGTTGAGCTGAACATACAAGTTTTAGTTGACTACATTATGCGTTGCGTGTTACCATTTCTTCCCGTTTTTTTTTTTTTTTTTTTTCCTTTTTGCAATTTCCAATTTCAGCTTAATTTCATTTCACGTTTTAGGTCTTATATTAAGAACGGAGGAGTATTACTCAATATACGTTCAAGTTGTTATAAAATTAAAATATAATAAATAAACAGAAAAAAATTAAGATTTTGAGCTGCACAATTGAAATGCTTCATCAACTCATTGTACTGTTGAGCTGAACATACAAGTTTTAGTTGACTACATTATGCGTTGCGTGTTACCATTTCTTCCCTTTTTTTTTTTTTCCTTTTGCAATTTCCAATTTCAGCTTAATTTCATTTCACGTTAATGATATCTTATAATAACATGTTAACTCTATTTATTTTTGTAATACTTACGTATCAATGTTAAACGAAATTCTTTCTAGTGATTAGAGGAATAATAGAGATAAGTATATATGATCACAACTTAAATTGACAAGTAAATCACTCTGATTGGTTTTACATTGTTGAACTGACAATAGTAAACTAATTTATGTCCAAAAACTCCAAAATCTAGTTTTCCCCAAAATACTTTATTCACCCCCTTTAGCTCTCTTATTCACACGCAAACCAAAATTAAGGCATTGAGTTTAAGAAGAGATCACAAGCTTAATTACAACAACGTCACTTTGATTTGTTCATAGATATAATAAGATGGCTAGTTTCGGTATTGCATTAATTGGCCGGCTTTAGTGATTTTGACAATCAAAATATAATGCCAAACACACAACAATTTCCTGATGATGTGATAATATTCCTCAAGGATTTGCTTTGGATGCACTAAGCTGAAACTGACAAGCCGCCACGGCATCATCCACACTAAAAAAGAAGGACTTTTTCCCAACCACATCTACAAACTTTGATGTTATTAGCTTCTCCATGACTTCCTTCCTTGGGTTCACTATTGACAACTGTATAATTCAACCAACAAAATTATGTCGATTATTATATAAATAAACATTTCTTTTATCATTGGCATCAATATCATGTGGTATTACAGCTCAACTCTAACCAGCCAGTTAGATCGGTGAACCGGCAGATCAGTCTCCTAGCTAGTTTGGTTAACAGTTTGGATAGATTAACTGGATTGTATTTTACATTTTTTTTTCCCTTCTCCTTATTGACCAAAAAACGACATCGTTTTGAGTTTAACAGAATAGCAGTTCATTAGACTTATGCTTTAATAACTCTGTTTTGTCAATGTGTGGTTTATGCATAGATGTACCATTTACTTGCTGAATTAATGTCTTTTTTATTTAAATATTACATTTTTCATGATTATTATATATGAATACTTTTGTATATTTTAATCACATTGTACTATTTTAATTATAATTGGGTTTACCTTGATTTAATCATGATTAGACCGTTTACTCTTAAACTACTATCTTGTTCGGTTTAATGGCTGATTTTTGTATACACAATGAAAAGTTATCCAAAGCCATATTATTCACAAAAACTTAAATACTACTGCTTCAACTTTGGGTTTCATGCAACATAGGAACTCGATGCAAGGCAATAACTGATGACGTACCTGCTTTCCATTTTTCTCCAGGACTTTACGTATCTCATATATTCCTCTAATAGCAGTTACATCAATGGAGGTCACGCCTGTCCATTTGTATAAATAACGTTATATATTTGGTTACGTGCATTTAAATATACATGTGGCGAGGAAATAAAGCATTTATTTTCCTATATATATATATATGCATCACAGTATATTGAAAGAATAACAAGTATAAACAATATGCAAAAGAAAAATAATCATTAAAAACGTAAAATACGTACTTGACAAATCGAGTATGATCTGCTCTACAGTATTCCCAGTACAAGAACTCTCCTCGCTTTGAATATACCTCAGGATCCTATATATTCCATAGTTTTTATAAATGTATAAAAAAGGATGTTAATTGCTTGGATCATATATAATCATCACACATATGTCTAGAACTATAAATTTGAATGCGATTTTAGTATTTACACGATGAAAAGTTTTTTGTTGGGGCTAAACAAAAAGAGACAATATTAATCCTAAAGTCCGAAAGCATATAGAATTCAACCGATATTTACATGAAAATTTAAGTTTACAAAAGAAGACATGGCAAGTCATACATAAGACAATAAATTTTAAAATTTTGAATCATTTACATTCATATCTTTCAAGAGATCGACACCACACAAAAAAAAAAATTTGTACATTTAAAGTCATTTATCATCCCCCACCATATAAGTGGATTGAGAAGATGTGTAAATACATAACTTCACCAAAGGAAAGTTATTGGCTTTCATGGTTAATATGGAATTGGGATAAAATATACTCCATCTGATCCCAAATGGAGAAGCTAAGTAATTTATTTGCAAAAATAAAAATTTAATTAGTTTAAATTAGTTATTATTTGTATAATAAATACCCCATTTAATTATTTGCATTTGAGACCACTCGGACAAAAACTGCCATTTAACATATGCAATCAATATGGATTTTAAAAAATATATATAAAATTGACCAAAAAAAATGAATTGATATATTACATTTAGAATCAAAGTTAGTAAACTTCAACTAACTTTTATATCTAGGACTGAAGGGAGTACAACCTATTTCAGAAAAACGCAATGTTGAATAATTGAATATTCCTACTTTTGATGAAAACTGGATTGGCTAGTTTGCATCGAAGGAACCCAAGTATCTCTTTTCATTTCATTAAATTTATTTTTATGAGATAGATGCAGAGAGAAGGGGGGATAAGTAATATACTAAGATTGAAAAAGAAGCAAGATAAGCAGTAATTATAAACGAAGTTGGAGGATGAAAAATGAAGTGACCTGTCTTTGACGTAGGAAGAGTTAGCGAAGTAGATAGGAGAACCAACTTGAATGATTAGAATGCCTGGGAATATGGTTGAAATTGGATACTGCTCGACGTCTCTGTACAGAGACGAGTTTGGGATCTTTCCAAGCTTGCATGAGGCTGGTCTAGCCACGTACAACAGTGCCCTCAACACACCAAGTCCAATCTTCACAACACACATCCATATATGATTCATCACTTACATAACATAAATTTAATCATATCATATCATGCAACAATATGTAGGTTTTTATATTAGTTTACTTTGTTGTCCTCACAGTTTGATGCAATTTTGATTTTGATTCATGTAGTTTCAAATGGGGTTCTTATAGTGTCATGAAGACTTAGTCTCAATTTAAGTATAGGGACCAAAACCAACAATTTAAAGCTGCAGATGCCAAAACCAAAACTTGATCTAACTATAAAGACTAACAATGATATTACCCCTTTATTTGCACCTTAATTACGGGTAAACATATAATAAAAGTTTAGTTTTCTAAAGTGTAAAAGTATTTTTTTTGGGAAAATTAATGGTGGTTCTAAGAAAAGAATGTAATTACTAAAAAAAAATACTATAACAAGTTTCAGTACAGAAAATGACAATACATAGGATTTATACTGCTCACTTGAAATTTTTGTGTGTGATTATATTCTTTATTTGGGACTTCTTCGGTGGCTTTAATGTAGTAAGAATTGATTGAGAGGAGGAGAGGGACTTACAGATAAGAAGAGGCCAACGTCCATGCTGATGAAGGTGACACCTAAGAAGCAAGACATGCAAACGAGGAAGTCAAACTTGTCGACCTTATAGAGATGGATGGCTTCTTCATAATTGATGAGTCCCAACATGGCTGATATGATGATGGCTGACAGTGCCACCAGAGGAGTGTGTCCAAACAAAGGAGCTAAAAATAGGAGCGTCATCGCCATTAACACTGCTTGCACTGCGTTTGACATCGGCGTCTTTGCCCCTGAGTTGTAATTCACCGCACTCTTCGAAAATGGCCCTTCCCAAAAGGAGAAACAAAAGATATATAATAACCTTTATTGATCAACAAATCAAATGGAAAAAAAAAATTTATAGTATACGAAATAAGTATATAAGAAAAGTTTTGTCTCGACTTATATGAAAGTATTGTTTTTTTTTCAAATCAACAAATCAAACGACAATAATAACTCTCTTAAAGATAATTACCAAACCCGATGAAATGGTTTGATTAACTTTCTAAAACACAGTACACGAGGTAAGCATGTTTATATAAGAGAAGTTTTGTCTTAGCTTGTGTTAAAGTATTTTTTTAATTGATTTTAGGAGGTATCCAAACTCCCCCGTAACCTATGTTAACTGCTGGTCTAACCAACTAATCAATTCATTGTGATCTATTCATCAACTAATTATGATTTTCAAATTAACATCACATTATATCTCCCACAGCAAATATACGTGTGTTGGAAAATGCTTATATCAAATTTTTTATATTCATTATGTCAAATTTTCTAATCACACACGGTCACATGTCCATGATAATATTTTAAAATAAGACATACGAATGTATGTAATCGGAGAACTTAATATACTATATATATACATACATACATATATATGTATATGTATAAACTTGATCTAAGCATTGTATTGCATTTATATAAATACATACCACTGGTCAAGTAGCATGAAGTGAAAGAGCCGAGAAGGTTCATAAGACCAAATGCGACCATTTCCTTGTTCCCATCATGAGGGGTATTTTCTGCCACGGCGAAACTTCTTCCTATTGCTATACCTTCCTGCATGTAAATAAGGAAAATAATATAAAATAATATAGATATATATATAAAACAGAAGAAATAAATAAATATAATCTGATTGGCCAAAAAAAAAAATATAATCGGAAATAATTATGTGTTGCTGCTGATTAGAAGGAAAAAAAATTAATTAACTTCTTACCGCTAATGACAAAACGCCAGTGATAATGCCGGCTTTTAGGACTGCTGGTAAATATTTAGGATCGAAGTTTAGTAAGCTGATGGATATAGGATTTAAGCCTCGATCTAGGTGACCCACCTGAGGTAAATTAAAATATATAACTTATGTGAGAATAAATAATAATCAAAGAAATTAAATACAGGCAAGTAATTAAAATTAATCAATAATTGACTCACAATTTGAATTCCATGATGGTGGCCCTTGACAAGGTAGGTAAATATAGCTCCAACGATCACTGTTGTTATTGGAGCTATAGCTGCCACCCAAAACAGCTTCTGATTTCTCTTCTTCTGCAAAATACCAATAATGAATTAACGAGATTAAGCAAAAATTAATCATTTTTGCCAAAAAAATTATCTTTTAATCTTTCTAGAAGTTCAGTTTGATAAATTTTCATTCAATCTCCGTGAACGTTGTCCTACTCTTACTGATTTAATTAATAAATGTTAAGCAAATTCAATCACCGCGGGGGAAACTGAAAGAAAACAAAAACACTAATTTTTTTTATGTTTAATATAAAACATAGTTGATTAATTCAGCGAAATGAAGAAAGTTAAACAAATTACATTAAAGTATTATATGTATTTTTTTAAACTAATTTATTTGACTTACAAATTGATATATAATGTGTGACCACATATAAGTATTCTAGAGAAACCAAAAAACACACCAGAGGTAGTGTATATACATATGTACTCACTCCTATCCTAATATAGGCATCTTTTAAAAGAAACTTTTGGTGTATAATTTAAGTCATTTGGCAGGTTATTAATGAACCTTTTCCAAATATTACCCCTATTACAATTTAATAGGTGAAGACTTGAGGGCTAATGTGGTATTTCACTATGCTCTTAAATACAGGGCAAAATTGGAAAAATATTTTATTTTTAGATAAAGTTAATGAATTAATTACCCCTCTTAATTTTGATGATATAATTAAAAGTGACTTATAAGTATAAATAAAAAGGAGTATGCTGAGAATATAACTCAATAATACTAGTATAATAAGACAAAGGAATCAACCTCTTACCAAGTACTTAGTGAACATCAAGAAGGCAACGAAGATGACGCCCATGACTGTGGTCTCCCATCTTATCTATATATCTCAACATAATACATTATTTTAAAAAGCGTCTTAATTAGCTCAATTAATTTGTTTCCTAACAAGAACAATAAAAATTAATAATATAGGATGGGAGCAGGGATATAGAGGAACCTCATGTCTATTGGCGACGATGGCCTTGAGCACAGAGATAAGGCTGGTGTGACTAGAGAAATGTTTCATACCAAATATGCCCTTCAGCTGTTGCAGACACAGAATTACCGCTGTGCCCCCCATGAAGCCTGTTATGGTCGAATGCGATAAGAAATCCACCAATATCCCTAACCTGTAATTACCCAACATTATTATTATTTTAACTAAATAAAACGAAATGAGGACTTCTCTAGATCTCCAGTAAGTCCAAGTGATGAGAGATGAAAATATAAGTTTACTGGGAGTGGCAAAAACGATTAAATTTCTACAAATGCACAGTGATCCGTGCTCATTTGAAAAAAGGGATACTAATCTTAATCCCGATCATCCATATTTATTTTAGATCATATAAATTCCATTTAATTTTTATATTTTAAATAATTTTTTAAAAATTTAGATACATAATTTCAAATAAAATTATTCTTATAACTAATAAATTTATTATAAAAAATTGTGACTAAAAAAATCTAAATTCTAGACCATGAAATTTTGATTATGGCAATCCTGTGATGAAAATTAATTGAGGACTCATCTCTCACTATACTTGTCATTTATTAAGATCATTCATTGCATCTGATGCCAAATAAAAGATCGCATCAAGTAGTTTATATAGAAATATAGATATACAACGATTACCATGCATGCACAGAGAAAAAGGATGAAGATATTTAATTCGTATGAAGTATTAAAATTTATATTAAAATTTATATCATATTTGTTACAAAAAAAATTAAATCATATTTATTTACTTGCTTGGTTCGAGTTTTGGACGAACTTATATTAGAATTTGAATAGTGAAAATAAAAAACTGTTTAATAAAACTTGTTTTTATGTCAATTTCAAATTCATAAACTTGTCAATATGTTATATTAGATCCTGGATATCTAGTTTCTGCAATATCTTGCATCCGAGGATAACTGCTAACTTCGAACAAAGTGATGATAATTTCATATATACACATATATATATATAATCATCATGCATAATTTATAAAAATACGTGGTGTTCATACCATGTTGATTCTCACCTGAGAATACCTAAAGCAGCCTGAAATGCTCCGGTGATGAAGGTGGTGGTGAAAATCAAATGCACATACAGAACAGGGTCGTTCTCCGGCATCGCCACGCTCGACACCGTTTGGTATAACAGTAAGGACGCCGCCGCTATCGTTCCCACCGCCATCTGCCTCGAACTTCCGAATATCGCATACACCAGTGGAGGAACAAAACTACTATCTGCAGACACAAACATTCTCAATTATTCACCTAAGAAAGCAACAAGGAGAATATCGGCGATCAGAAAACGGAACTTACAGAGGCCAATGATGGGATTATTCACCTAAGAAAGCAAGAAGAAGAAGATCGGAGATCGGAAAACGGAACTTACAGAGGCCAATGATGGGAGGAATTTCGGCGAGTTTAGCGTAACTAATGCCTTGAGGGATGGCGAGGCTGGTGATGGTGAGGCCGGCGACGAGGTCCGACCAGAACAACCGGAGATTGTAAGTGGAAAGCCATTCGAACATTGGGACGAAGTACTGTACTCCTTTCACAATTCTATCTCTCCTCGTCTCTCCGTTCTTGAACTGCCTGAAAGGGTCGTCTGGGAACAGCGTTTCTTTCATTGCCGACTTCAGTTTCGTTGCAAACCCCCTCGGCGCCGCGAAGTTCACCGAGTGTCGACCGTCGATTTCGGTAATGGAGGCGCCGCCGTTGGGGCTCATGGAAATGCTACTGATCGGACTCATGACGTCGCCGGCCAGAAGAGCTAGCTCACAGGCGAAGAGAAACTTGACAAAAACACTGACTTGATAAATTAAAACATCGCTGCATTGAGAACTGGATTTTGTCTGCGGCCAACCTGGCGTTTATATAGCCACTTTAATGAACTGTTTAAAAAGAAAAAAGAAAAGAAATCACGAAGAACTAATTATTTGGCTAAAAATGTAAATCTACCTATAAAATATAATTTGAGGATGCGCACCTAATATGATAATGTTCACTGGGATATAAAATACGAACAAAAATTTTAAAAGAGTCAAAAATAGAATAACCATTAAGTAAGCAATTGTCCGTGAATTTTTAAAACATAAACGGATGTAAGGCCATCATTAAAAAGTAACTGATGTCGTAGTTGTTTTATGCCATTTGAAAATTTTCAAGGACACTTATGTAAATATTTCATAAATAAATTTATGCCTTAATCTTTTAGTTAAATAATTTTTATATTCGCGTTTCACTTACATTTCATCGGGAAAAGAAACTTTTTGTTATTTGTTTTGGTTAAATTTCTGAAGCATTGGCCTTTATTTACATTTTGTCCAGATGTCCACTCTCATCGTCTGTGCTAATATTAAGGAAGTTTCAAGTTGGTAATTTTATTATTAAATTAAAAAATAAAAGCTAACATAAGTTATTCAAATGAAAATTTGAGATTTTCTCAAACTAACTAGGAGTTGGTGAATGGGGGAATGGTAAATAGGATTTGTTTTGCAGTATTGTCCTCGTTGCTTACGCTGTATTTGGATGCGTAGTTAAATGCAAAAGCGAACGCCCGCCGGCCAATGAGCCAAGCACGTTTTAGTTCAACATGAGAGGAGACTAGTCAACAAGTATCAATAATTCAATATCAACACACAACATAGGATGTCTAAATATATGAAAAAAATCATTTTATTTATTACTTATAAAATCATGTAATTTAGTTTAAAATTTATTAAAGATGCATAAAAATTTTAGTTAATTATTATTAATATTATTTATTGATCAAAACTTGATTAGTAAGATTATTTGCTGTTCCGTCTTTAAAATTAAAACCTAATTTAATGCATCAAATTTTCTAGTCTAAATATATATGTTTAGAGATTTATCTGGGGCCTTTGTTGACACCACAATTTTTTTCGATTATGATAAAATGTAGACTTTAAATATGTTGAAGGTTGTGAGTTAAAATAACTGAAAGTTATGAGACAACTGAATATGAGTTGCTAATGGATACATAATGATTCAGTTTTATCTAGCATATACAATTTATTTTCATTCAATAAAAATTTGAGAGGTTAAAACGAGATTTTTTTTACTAATTAATTTAAAGAGAATAATTAATAAACTTTTCGACATTTGTTTAATTCCAAAAGTGTAATTTTTTAATTTTTTGTTTTTCTTTTTGGAGCCAACCAGCATTGGCCGACTGCAGCCTTTTGGTCTGCAAAGTTCAACACAGATACGCATCTTTCACTTGCCCTTTGATTCTTGAACACGTCACAGCCTACCTCTTTGAAATCGAACTGGCTTGGCATCTAAAAATTAAAATAAATATAAAAATTACATTTTTATATGAAATGATTTTTATAGAATAATAAAAGCGTACTAAATATTCTATATTTAAAATGCAACACATTTTAATCTGTGTGAAACAAAATGAATTTTATCACCAAGATGGTTCCTCCCTTAACTGGTCTTTCTATGTATTTCATTCCAATAAAAATGTTAGTTTCATTAGAACAAATTAGGATTTTACTTGCAGTACCGTCTTAAGTGCATGTCACTTATATAATCTAAAATTTATAAGATACCCCTCTTTTTATAAATTATTCACAACGGTCTGCTTTCTTTAATTTTTTTTATAAAATATGAATCTATAAAATTAAAAAACATAAAAAATTTCATTATTCATAATTTAAATTTATCATTTGTCTTTTATCATAAAAAGACTCTAAAGTTTGAAACTATCAATTGAAATTTTATTTTTATTTTTTTATATCCTATTCTACTTATACCATACTTTGTGTAGAAATCATCAAGTGATCTGTATATATATAAATATATATTTATTGTATATTAAACAAAACTTAAAGACATGATAAATATGAATTGAAAGTGATTAAGATATGAACTATATTGCAAAATCAGGATTTATCAAAATCATTGTAGTATGTGAGTAAATTTCAGTTTAGATTAATTATATTTTCGGACTTGTAATATTGAGTAATGATTAATTCTGATTTAAATCACACCAACTTCAGTGGGGGGAAAAAACTTCAAATTTTTCATCCCAAAACTTGCATTCGAGACTTTATTTGAAAAATTTATTGAATTGTTTTCCCACAGACTTATTGGTTATTGGATTACTGGAGTTCTGGTTTTTTTTTCTCTTTGGCGGCAAATTGCAATTACAAAATTCCAAAATGTTGTCCAAAACATTATGCAATTCGAAAATACTAATGAATAAGATTAAGTCCACCGACCCTATTACTATTAAATCCACTACTATGAAATCTCAAGTTTTCAAGCCAAGCACTAATTAAAAAAACGAAGAAGTTTGAATTATTTCTTATGCGTATGAAGGTGTTAGCGATGATGCGGATTTGATCATATCCTTATTTAGTCATAGTTATCCTAGAAAAATCAATACATTTACTATACCTCTACTTATATACACATATCTAAAAATTCTTAAAAGTTATATATATCTCAAAGGATAATACTTATATTAAATTTTTTATATTTATTACATCAACTTCTTATCATCGTCCTACTTTTAAAATATTTTCATTTAACTATAAACTAATATATGAAAAATTGGACAGATGGCTACGTGTGATTAGAGAGTTTGATATAATAAATATAATAAACATAACGTGAGTATGTTCCTATCTTATAAGTTAGGAGAGAAATTCATAAAGGTTGGCTCCAAAGTTGGTATCCAAATAAGTAACATACAACTTTTTACTATTATACCAACCACACTTTTGAAATATTCTTAGTTGTGTGAAGGCGTAATTAGACATGGAATGAGGGGGATCTGATCACATTCTTATCTAACTAAAATCTCAGTTAATCAACATATTGTAAATTAAAGACGTGAACATATATAGATAAATTTAACAATACATTGTTGGCAATTTAATACTGGTATTTTTTATTATAAAAATGGTTATGATAGATTATGAATCTTTAACCATTAATTAATGCATAAATATTTAAAATCCTTCGTACTTGGGTTTGAATTGAGTCACCGTCAAGGGAAAGGGATTAAATTTCAATATGTACGGGCAATTCGATTTTCAGAAATATGATACGATCAATTAATTAAATTGTTAATAATTAATATGTTCAATTAATTAATCGTATTATATTTACAGTCAACACATCACAAACTTATTTACTTGTAATTGTAATATAATCATCCTTAACCATCAGGAAGAGAATCTATAGTTATTGCTGAGTTTGATATGGAAACCGCATGCATGCATGCAAGAACTAATATAAATTATTATTCGTTGTATAATAATTTGCGACTCTTGAGAATTCATATGAGCTCTTAAGTATAATAATTGCTTACTGTTTTTTATCCTTAATATAAGGTTTAATTGACTAATTTTGAAGATATCAAAAAAGTTACTGAATTATTTAATTATAGTATTTGTTACATGATCTTTCTAAAATACTTTTATGTATTATTAGATTATATATCAATTTACAAGTGAAACAAACTAGTTGAGAGAAAAATCATAAATATAAATATTTTAAAATAATTAGAAACTTTCTTGATCTCTTCAAATTAGCTAACTAAGTCTTATATTATAAGAATTGGGGTATTATTGTCATATAAATTAATCAACAAATTAACCATTAGACGAATCCAATATATATATAAAGATAAACTTAGCAATAATTAATTAATGAAATGCGCAATATGGGGTATTATATTGACAATTTCTAGTGACTTTTGATTACATTAATGTGAAGAAAACAGTGACAATGTATGCCTTATGCATGACCTTTCGCTCTTCTATGAGATAACATTAGAATTACTTGTCTAAGCAAAGTTCTTTTTTTTTTTTTAAGGTAATACTAAGCAAAGTTCTATTTTACTTGGACATGATGATGTGATTATTGTTAAAATAATCAATAATTATTCAATCACATTTTGATTGTATTTTCTACTTTCAATTATATATCTTATTTTTATGTTTATATATGTTATAGACTTATATTTCACAAATCATGAACAATGTAAAATAACTCCATGCAGTTTTATCTACTTATATCTAAATAGTACATATAATTCCTAGGATTTGGAACCTTTACTTGCATGAGCAGCTTACTATATAAAAGCCCATGCTACGTCTAGTTCTTAATATAAAAAGTTATTTAGATAATTAATTTGCAGATATTAAAAAAATTAGTTAATTTCTATAGTTATTCCAAATGTGTATAGGTTTTTTTATACTATCCGGCCATGTGTAATGGAACTACGTATCTCTCATTGGAAGTCTTTTTAATCAATTAAAAGAAATATGTAAAAAATATATATATAAATTTTAAAAGTAAAACGGATAGAGATTTTGTGCTTAGAATCAAAATAGATTTTTTGTCTGGATTCTATATCTAGGACTAGAAGTATTATAATGAATTAAGCATCATTGAGATGTTTATGAAAGAGTAAAGCACTCTTGATTTGACATTATGCCTTAAACTTATCATTTGAAATTGCCTTAAACTTAAAACTGAAAATAATTTTTATGGGAAAAGTGTTAATGCTTGCAGCTGCGCTACACACACACACACATTAATTTGAACTCTCAGTGTAAGCGCATCATTGGTGGAAGTTTTTTTTTTTGCTTTGTTTGTTTATTTTCAAGGCCATGAAAAGGTAAAGATGGTGAAAGTTATGGAGCGTCTGAAATCCTTGGTTAGTTTATTATTATTTATAAATTATAATGGCGACTTTTTTTTTGTTATT